ACCTTATTTGCTACCTGTACATTACATTAACGAACTAATAATTTCTGTCGTTATGATAATTTGTTATTTTGTAGGTAGTTTTATTTATACAGGTTTTGATTTTCGTTTATATTTTCTCTGTTAATGTTGCCTCCGGCGTCTCAATCTTAAATAATAACTTAAATACCCGTATAATTAAATAGTTTATGTAAAATTTTTAGATGAATCAGTACCAGAATGGCGAAAAGACTGTACAAAACAATGCAATGCAATTAGAGACCTGAATGTTGATATTTTATTAATTTACATCTAAAAATTCCACTGTAAATTTATTATTATCTACGTAATTACGTTATTTGTCGATAATAAATTAAATTGTTTGACGAAATTTATCGGTAAAAACATTATTTGGTTCAAGTCTCTAACCAAAACTTGTACATTATTACAGAATTATAACATGTACATAGATCATCAAAAATAGTGAAGTAAATATTGCATTTCCTATTTTCGTTTTGTTGCAGCCGGTTCTATTTTACGTGGCGGATATGTAGATTTGAAATAATTTTAGTGTTAATATAATAATTTGTCACCCTGTGCGTTCCAATGTGATTGATTGTTCAAAGTACTAACTAACTAACTAGTTATTTTCACAGAATGGTATAGATATTATAAAGTCACAACCCTTTGACTAGTCACAGTATGATATATATACGTTTGAGTCTAATAATATACACAAAATATACAAATCAGCATTCATTCACTCCTTTAACTTTTGCATTCTTACGTAATTTATCAATAAATCTTCTTGGGATTATGTTTTGGGTTACTATTTACTTAGTAGGTAATAGTATTGAAAGCCCTATTGCTATTCATTATAACTGAGTATTTAAATCGTTATTTTTTGTGTTAAACGAAGTTGTACTCATGGTATTCACCAGGGTTGCCATCTAAAGTTTTTTATAATAAAGGAAATCAATGGCAGATTAAAATAAAATACTTAGTAATAAATAATATANATGATAATTTGTTATTTTGTAGGTAGTTTTATTTATACAGGTTTTGATTTTCGTTTATATTTTCTCTGTTAATGTTGCCTCCGGCGTCTCAATCTTAAATAATAACTTAAATACCCGTATAATTAAATAGTTTATGTAAAATTTTTAGATGAATCAGTACCAGAATGGCGAAAAGACTGTACAAAACAATGCAATGCAATTAGAGACCTGAATGTTGATATTTTATTAATTTACATCTAAAAATTCCACTGTAAATTTATTATTATCTACGTAATTACGTTATTTGTCGATAATAAATTAAATTGTTTGACGAAATTTATCGGTAAAAACATTATTTGGTTCAAGTCTCTAACCAAAACTTGTACATTATTACAGAATTATAACATGTACATAGATCATCAAAAATAGTGAAGTAAATATTGCATTTCCTATTTTCGTTTTGTTGCAGCCGGTTCTATTTTACGTGGCGGATATGTAGATTTGAAATAATTTTAGTGTTAATATAATAATTTGTCACCCTGTGCGTTCCAATGTGATTGATTGTTCAAAGTACTAACTAACTAACTAGTTATTTTCACAGAATGGTATAGATATTATAAAGTCACAACCCTTTGACTAGTCACAGTATGATATATATACGTTTGAGTCTAATAATATACACAAAATATACAAATCAGCATTCATTCACTCCTTTAACTTTTGCATTCTTACGTAATTTATCAATAAATCTTCTTGGGATTATGTTTTGGGTTACTATTTACTTAGTAGGTAATAGTATTGAAAGCCCTATTGCTATTCATTATAACTGAGTATTTAAATCGTTATTTTTTGTGTTAAACGAAGTTGTACTCATGGTATTCACCAGGGTTGCCATCTAAAGTTTTTTATAATAAAGGAAATCAATGGCAGATTAAAAAAAAATACTTAGTAATAAATAATATAATTAGTCGAAGACTCTTTGTGAAACTTTTTATAAATATGAAGTACGTATTATTTAAATACTGATGGCTAAAAGTATTTAATGTTTGTACTTAAATCCTTCAGTGAATTAAAATACTGGGTCGGTTTTGAAATACTGGGTACGACATCATTAAAAATGTCATTGGAAGTGATCGTGTTATTAATTTATATATTTGTTTATAATCATACAATCTATCATAAACTGCAGTATCTGTTTCAGTATTTGAAATGTTTCTAAAGTTTTTATATTTATATCTAAAAATATCTGAAAAAGTATTTGTATTTAAATCGTTTTTGTGGATATTTTAGCCAAATATAGAAATATAATTATTGATATACTGAATCTTGTTATGCAAATTGTAATTAAAAATCAAATTGACTGTTTTATTTATGTATAACCCTAGAGAAAAATTTTCAGTCTCTCTCCAGTCTCTCAGAGTCTTTCAGCGTCTCTGAAAGCGTCTTTCACAGTCTCTCAGTTATTGCCTAGGTGTTTTCATGGATCTCTCACAGTCTCTGTATGAGAAACTCGAACGATAACATTGTTAATACAGAGATTCGAGTCTTTCACAGAGAGACTGAATGAATAAAACTGAAAAATTGAGAGACTCCATTTTCTCGTAGAAAGACTGGGATCTCTGAAATATGTTGAACTTAGTAAATTTTAACCATGTCTATCGAGATACCACTTATTGAGAGATTCTAGTCTCTCGTTCAGAGATTCGAGTCTCTCGTTCAGAGACTGGATACGAAATGATAATCTCTTTATCAGCGACTCGAGACGCTAAACAGTTTTTTTTTATAGTCTCGCGACAGCAGAGAGGCTCGACGAGAGAGGGAGACTCGAGTCTCGCTTTGAGAGACTCTGAGAGACAGAACATTTTTATCTCGGGAACTGAAGATAAAATAACTATTATTGAAAGGTATAAACAGATGAACATTGCCCTTCATAGCATGGCTGATATTATTTTTAACATTTCAAAGTGGCAACCCTATGTATCATACACGTATGTATGTAAGAATGTGCGAAGTTCTAAGAGAATTAGGATCAATAGTTTCACTTCGAATTCAAGAAGGTTAATCACTCATTTCGTTTAGTCTGCAAAACCTCGACTTCATTGTAGGTACAACAATATATCAGGATTTACTTGGTGTGCGCGGATAACGTTTAATATCGTTACAATTCACTTTCGAGCAACTGTTAATCTAAATCAAGACTGCCACGCCAGGACTACGCGACGCCTAGGGAATGAATGTTTTAGGGTAGATACGTGGTTATGTATGGGAGTTAACACGTTTGCGTATTTCTTAAGGTATTATGCAAAATACCGAACTCAATATTGTGTTCAAATACCTACTCCGTATGCACAACAATGCTATTATTTATTTATTTAAATAATTAGCGGTAACGCACTTAATAGATGTCTAACTGACAACGGTTTTAGGAAATTAATTCATTTTCAGTTGTTTTAATTTAAACGAAACCAAACAAAAATGTGTACTAAACAACATAACGTAACTTTTGAAATGAAACTTCTTTACGCACGGTAGGGTAAGTTCGTTTCATGCGAGTTGCTATGTAACGAAATCATGCAACGGATGTCTCGTAGCGGGGATCGCTTGTGTCGTGAGCGCGCTTCAATGCAACGTTCGCTACAGGCAACTCCGGCATGTATAGTGTAAAATTTAAATTCATAATGTACAAATAATACCATTAAACCAATTCCTTAACCCCTATCCTGGTATGTTTGTGTGTTTGAAGAAGTTTTACTTCAGTAGCGTGTTGTATAATTACACGTTGTATTTTTTATTTATTTATTAATTATTGACAATGATTATTTTGCCATATTGTGGCTTCTTCAAGTGAATGAATTGATAGTACATACGTAATGTATAAATTTACCCGAACAGATTACAATTATTATTGTGGATAATTAATAAAAAATAATTTTTATATATAACAAACATTGCGTTGTATTTTCCTGTTTTAATGAAGTTATTGTTAAGTTTATGAACACTTTGAACATTTTCTTGTTTTAATTTATGTAAGAAAATTACTTTAGAAGTTACTGGCGAAATATTTGATAAAATTCAGACAGGTATAACGTACAATTTCAAAATTGGTAGTTCTTTTCTGAAAGGAGTTAGAAAGAGTTCACAGACACGTTTTTATTGCCAATTTTTTGTGATTAAAAAAAAAACACTTCTCATCTAATACCGTCAGTATTATTTCCAATTCATATTAACGTAAATAACTGCTCAACAGACTGTAACATAATTACAGTGTAGTTAAAAGTTAGTTAAGTGTAACCATTTGTAGTTATATCTTTTAGTATCGATTAGTCAAAATTAATTGAAGAATGATTTCTTAATATTACAAGGTAAAGAATTAGTAAAAAAGGCCGAAAGTTCTACATTAGTAAGATACTAAAATGAAAATTCTTAAACGTTGAGAAAATCGTAGTTCTATAGTTTTGCAAGATGGTTTATTATGATTTATTTTTTCGAAATTGTTCTGGGAATCAGAAAACACATTTACTATTTTTTGGAATGAAAAATTAATTGAAATTCAGCTTACCTTCTAATAAGATAATTCAATTTTATTGTGTTTTAAGTTACTAATTAGGCTTTTCAATTTCTTCCATGTTTTAGAAGAGGTTTAAGTAATTTATGGTAAAATTAGCAATAGGACTTAAGGTATAAATCTTTGCTATCGAGATTGTAATATTCATCTATCAATTTAGTATCAATTCGATAGTATACATAATATTTCTTGTTTTCTTTTCTTTTTAATTGAAAGGATATGAGTATTTTCCTTACGCATTATCTTCCGTTTTATCTCCAAAGCAGTAAAACAAATAAGTTGATCTCTGAATCTTATTTTCTGAATCAAAATGTTTTGATGATTCATTAAATATTAAATATAAGTGAAAATCAGTTTAATATTAAGATGTAATTATTGTGAAACAAACGTAAATAAGGAAAAGTCTTTTGGAAATTAAATTATTAATATAAGTACTATGTTTTCTTTGGATAATACAGAAGGGTACTTTCAACGACTTTTATAAATGTAAACGTGATAAACTGACCCTGATTAACAAGTAGGTTGTTAACAATAACAGACTAACTTATTTGCTTTGTTTGTTCTTTGTTTCACCTGTGATTAGGTACTTTTCTTAAAACAAATCACTGACGATAATTACGCTCGTCGTCAGTAATTCGTTCTAAGGAAGTAGTTACCTGAATTCTCTACATTTCCGGTGCAAAGCACAGGTAAGCATTAAGTATCACATTCTGGTAGCTATCTTTGCGACATATTTTATACCATTGTGTCGCACAATTTGTCGCATTCGTGTCAAATAACGCTGACGTCGTCGTGGAGGCCGTTCTTTTCAGCGGAATTCAGACGACTTTGTCTGACGGATTCAGTGCTAAACCGTTCGCTAGAACACTCGTGGAACGAACCGTTCCTTTTTGCATTAACAATTACCGCTTTCGTTTGGTAATCGGTAACGAATTTCTCTTTGCTTTTGTGATTGACGCTTTGGTAGCCGCAAGTGCACCAAATGGGATAATGGGTTGTCAGGATTCGTTTGAACGCCTCTCGGAATTCGGTATTAAAAATGGAATAAATGATTGGATTGAACACCGAATTCGAGTAGCCCAACCACGTAAGAATCTTGAACGTGATGTCTGGGATGCACGTCTTGCAAAACGCTGCGACTATGTTTATGCAAAAGAACGGCACCCAGCAGATAAGAAAGACGCCCATGATGATACCGACGGTAATTGCTGCTTTATGATCACTAACCTGGTACGGAGAACTGTGATGGTTGTGGAGGTGAATGTGTAGCGCTTTGTTTTTGCTTTTCGTCCCTTTTGACGACTTTGAACTGTCCGGCAGGTCTATGGGCCTTGTTACTGCTCTGATACTTTTCACATGCTTCTGGGCGTAGCAGTACAGTCTGCAGTAAATGCCTGCAAAGATGAGAAATATCTCAGACATATTTTAACCACCAAACACATTTTAGGTCAAAGTAATATCGGATTGAACATATGCAGGTCTCTAAGCAATACAAATTTTAATGCTGTCTTCTATTTTCTGCCCTAGTGTTTTTATATTAGTTTTTAATTTACTTAATCGAAACAACCACCACTCAAAAAGCTCAAACCAAGTACTTTACGTTAACAAGACTACCTTTTTCAGGGAATGAAGAGAATTGGATTTTTCAGTTGTATCAAACTTGGCATGAGCTAAATGCTCTTTGAAACTAATGTGTATTGAGGGTTTAGTTTGCCCAATGTATTTCTTACTGCAATCTTTACAATTATCAATTACATGTATCTTCAGCTTTTCTAGAAAAGAAATTCTATCCTAACGGTTACCAACAAGAGTTTGAAGAGAGTTCAACTTTGAACTACATGCAATTAGAAAAACAAGTTTACGACAAATACCGTTGAGTAATATACTTGGTTTTGACGGTGCGATCTCTCAATTTTATCTTGTTGATTATTCTATTAGTAATATTACAAGAATAGAAGGATAGAATTCCTTCTCTAGAGAAGCCCTGATACGTGAAATTGATTATAAAGATTGTAGGATTGCTTGACAGTTTTAATAATATTGATTTATAAAAGCCGATAGGTATTTTCTTAATAGTGATAAGAGTTGTATCCCTAATTCTCCAACTATTTAGAATAATTTAATCGCGGTTTATAATAATGTTTATTAAGGTAAACACCTTTAGTCTTTAGTTCTTTTCAGTTCCTGAAGAAGGAAACGTTGTTAACTGAAAGGTGTTGTGTTCTAGCGCTGAGCTTTGAGCTTTGAGCTTTTTGATGTTCTACTCTACAACACCGCCCATGTTTTCTGGTCCTCTAGAAACTACTAGACATGAAGTACGATTTCGATCTTCTTACGTTTCATCAGCAAGCCACAGGCAGTAATTTAATGCTTTACCTTATGAACAATGAAGTTAAATTGTCTACGACGTCATTTTCAAAATTCGTCAGCAATTTTAAGAAGTTAAAGAATTGCGTGCAAGAGTTCTGTACATCAGATAATTCCTTTGACAAATAGAACCGTTTGTGTTTGATATAATCAGTTCACAGCACGTGTAAATAGATGGATCAACTGATTTTTGTTGTTACTTTTTATATCGTTCTTCGGAAAAGTTATAGACTTCATAATTTGAGGTGGATATTCTTTGTTTGACAAGTTAACGAGCTCTGCTGGATTATTTCCAATATAGAACATATGTTACCGTTAAATTGTGATAACTTGTTGGTAATGTTATAACTTTATGAAGGGGTGGCTTATAGTGGCAAAAAAATCAACTGGGGAAAAATTTAGATGAATTATATACGCCTATGATATTCATGAACCTATTTTCAAAGAGGACAGGAACAAAATTTTTGTCTTTATTGGATTTAAATTACTTTTATTTTATTTTTTATTTTCTTGAATCAACAAGCTGAAAAGCCCTTTTACAAAATCATAACAATTTA